TAATGGAATATTACTCAGCTATAAACTCAAGGCTTTTATAGGTAAATGGATGCAACTAGAGACTGTACTCATAAGAGAAATAAATCAGATCCACATGTGTAAACATCATATTGTCTCCCTAGTGTAAGAACCTGAAAGAGAAAATAAAATCTAAAAGGTACAATAGATATTGTGAAAGGGAAAGAAACTGCTCAAAAGGAAAGGACAACTGGGATGAGGGAAAAGGGAAAAAAATGAAAGGGAAAAAATATGTATATATACACAAGACAGCTAAGATAATTGTACTACTAATTTCTATTGCTCTATGGAAAGGAACAGTTAATGTTTAACTGTTTGATCAATCTTACATGCCTATATTTGTTTAACTGAGTAACCAATTTGAAGATAACAATATGTAATGCAACAACCATTGTTAATTTCCTATCACGGTGTCTGAAATTCTTTATTGCTTTTATTGATTTTGTGTTGTTTTATGTTTGTGTGTGTGTTCTTTTATCTTTAAAATTTAAAAAAATCAGTTAATGTAAATTTAATTCATAAATTTGGGGAACATACCTTCTCTTAGTTCTCTAGTTATACTATTTTCCAACTCTTGGCGCATCTGAAATAAATCAAACATTTATAATGTTTAAGTTAAATAAGAGACATTTTTATGGGAATAATATGTATCACTTAGAAAATGTGGCCCTTAAGACTTTTTTAAAATTAAGTTTATTGGTACATTTTAGGTATACGTAATGATCACATTCATCATAGCGAATTTGTACTTGTACCTGATATAACTTGATCCCCCTTTTTTCTTTTTCCATTCCCCCTTTAAGACGTTTTTTTCCTATACCCCTTTATGTATATTAAATCAGTTTTTTCTTTTTCCATCCCCCTTTAATATAAATTAAAATTTAACATATTTTCTGTTATTAATGTTTTAGCATAGAGGCTTAAATACAGAAATGGAGACTGTATTATTGTAATATCATGCAAAAAAATCTACTGGAAAAAGATTTAAAATATTATGCCATTTGGATTGTGACCAAATAAGTATTTCTTTATTAAGACACATACAAAGATTTCAGAATATTTGCTTTAAAAGGATAAACATAGATTAGAGCCAGTTTTCAAACTTTCTTTGGTTCATTACTTTCCAGAAATGGAAACAAGGAAAACAATATACAGCTCTTACTGTAACTTTGCTATCTTTTCAGAAGTTAGAAGTCAATTATCTTGAAATGTGACTAATTCTAGCTTTCTATTTATGAAATATGTGGGAATACCCCAATCTATTTTTACTTTTCCCAGCTAATGTGTTCTTACTTAAATCTTTTGTGTAAAAGCTTTTTTCTTACTAATGCTCCAAGCAGGGTGTAACCTATCACACAAAACATAATACTTTGTGGTAGCAATGATAACATATCCAATGCCTTTAGGAATTTTAGGTGTAAAAAACAAGTTCTTTGACAGTTTTCCCAACACTCTTTTTTTTTTTTTAAATCTCAGGGTCTCATTACATAGTACAGGTTGGCCTGGAACTCATTATGTAACCCAGGCTGACCTCAAACTCACGGTGATCCTCCTGCCTCAGCCTCTGGAATACTGGGATCAAAGGTGTGTGCTACCATGACTGGCTCAGTATTACAAAGGCTTTTCTGTAACATTTTTGCAGCAACAGCATTACAGACAGGTGTTACAAAAGTAACAACAATGGACTATCAGAAGAAAAGAAGCCTTTACTGAAATAATTTTTTTTTTTTTTTTGAGACAGGGTCTTGCTAGTAGTTTAAGCTGGTCTTAAACTCAATGTGTAGCCCAGACTGGCCTCAAACCCATGGTGATCTTCCTGCATCAGCCTCCTGAGTGCTGGGATTACAGGCACGCGCCACCACACCTGGCTTGAAGTAATCTTATATTATGATTAATACTATATAAAATGTAAATCATACTTTTATGAGACTTGAATAAGGAAACACCAATGTAATTATCTTTTCCTACAAAAGCTCTTCTCCTATTTCCTTACTGTCTCTAGATAACAGATTTTATCTCTTTATACTCCATCCACAAAAACTTAGAATACATGAATTCAGCTTGGATAAAAATGAAATACTTTCCTCAAAAGATTATCTACTTTTGTGAAGAACTTTTTTCCTTTTTTCTTTGTTTCTTTGTCTTACATTTTGCATTGCTGAGACAAAATACCCAACACCCAAAGTTGAAGGAGGAAAGGTCTACTGTAGCTCAGAGTTTGTGAAGGCTTCAGCCCAGAGTCAGCTGGCTCCCAGGCAGAAACCAAGGCATCGCAGTGGAAACACAGTTCATGGTGTGGTAAGCAGAAGGCTGTGAGACTGCCTTCATCGTTCCCTTCCTATCCCATCCAGACTACAAGCTTATTTGGTTGGTGCCACTGACACCCAGGGTGGGCCTTCCCACT